CGTACTTCTCTACTCTTCTCTCTCTCTCTCTCTCTCTCTCTCTCTCTCTCTCTCTCTCTCTCTCTCTCTCTCTCTCCTCCATACATAACATAAACACACACCACATCTACATATAACCAATAGTATAATTGTATCATGACAAACCCATCAACATCTGTGCATGCACGTGTGCTCATGCATGTCTATATGCGCAGTTTTATCCTTATCCATGACCATGTCTATCTTTTCATTTTACTATGATGCTTTTAACTCATTCAATTCACGACGCCACATTTCACATTCCCGTTTTATAGTCGGGTGATGATATTCATTGTGTAACTCATAACTCACTTTAAACTAATTTTCTCACAAATACAACACATTTTCTATATATAGCTCTTTTTTTTTTAATATCTATGTATTGCAATTGTAAGCTTTTTATTATATATTGTTACTGTTAAATGTATAGCTACATAAATTAAGAGTATTCCGGTATATATTGATAATGTATGGTTTTCAAAAATCCTTGGCCTATTTGTCTGGTAATTATTTTATTTAAAAAATGTATGGATCTAATTAATATATTGAAGAGACTAGTTAATTTTTTATTATTTTTTGCTGTATTGAATGTTTTCATTATCATACACATATTGATATATATCGTTAAATTCTGACGACACTGTTTGAACACAGTTATATAAAGATTAAACATGAATATCGTGCATGCTATATTTCTCCTAAGTTATTAACCAAAAAATGTTATTTCTCACAACTTCTATTTTTAGTAGTCTTAATAATAACAACAGCAAAATATTTTACTATAACAAAATATATTTTAAATGTAACTGAGATCAACCTTTTTTTCTAGTAGAGCACTTAATTTATTTACTGGGATTCATATCTAGTTAAACCTTGTAGATTCCAGAAAAAAAAAAGAAACATTGACATGGAAAATGAGTAATCAATAGAATATAATTTTATTTGGTGGTGTATTCAAAGATAATGGAGAAGCCGTCTAAGGAAAAAAATCATGGGACATAAAAATTGGTACAATGTATCATACATGATCACATATACACACCTAGACATATATGTATATGCATACACAACTGCGTCTATATGCATACATATACAAACACAAAAGCCTTCACATCCCCAGCTATCCCTATCCATCTATCTATCTACAAATATATATATAAGAAAACACACAATATGTTCATTATTATATGAGTAAAATAAAAAGATGATCGATCATACTTTTTTTTAAAAACAAAATTTCTCAAAGAAAACCAACTTGACAACCGACAGCGAACAAGATCAAAAAGCTCTCTTCTTTTAATTTCTTCTCATCAAACTTAAATTCTCTCTGCGATCGCAATATATACAAAGAATCCTTTATATAGTTTCTTCCGAAGAAACAAAAAAACAGAATTGAGAGATTTGTTGGAGAGAGACGAGAAAGGATCATCATGAGGTCGCCAGTGCAACTCCATCACGGCTCAGACGCTACAAACGGCTTCCACACACTCCAGACGGATGGTCCGATCAGGAGAGTGTGTCTCACGCGCGGTATGCATGTGCCTGAGCACGTGGCGATGCACCACACGCACGACGTTGGTCCGGACCAGTGCTGCTCTTCTGTCGTGCAGATGATCCACGCGCCTCCCGAGTCCGTGTGGGCTCTCGTTAGGCGTTTCGATAACCCGAAGGTTTACAAGAACTTCATCAGGCAGTGCAGCATCGTCCAAGGCGACGGCCTACACGTCGGAGATCTCAGGGAGGTCATGGTGGTCTCTGGACTGCCGGCGGTGTCGAGCACCGAGAGGCTCGAGATCTTGGACGACGAGCGTCACGTCATAAGCTTCAGTGTCGTTGGTGGGGACCACAGGCTCAAGAACTACCGCTCGGTCACGACTCTGCACGCATCGGACGACGAAGGGACCGTCGTGGTTGAGTCTTACATAGTCGATGTGCCGCCGGGGAACACGGAGGACGAAACTGTAAGCTTCGTTGATACCATCGTCCGGTGCAACCTCCAGTCTCTGGCTAGAAGTACCAACCGGCAATAATCATAATCTCATTCTCACTTTTCTTTTTGTTTTTTCTGCGAATTATGTATGTATTTATTTATTTTCTTTATTTTCTCTCTTAATTCCTTTAGATGTTCGTTCATCACACAAGGAAAGAAATTTCGAGTTATCTCTTTTTTTTTTTTTTTTTTTTAATAGATTATTTTGGTTTAGAAAGAATTCGGAATTTTAATTTGGGATTTTCCAATTGGGAGATTTATTTATGTTGGGACTATCGATAATTATTGTTGGAAGATGGTACATAATAGCATTTTGAGGTGAATCTCTGTTAAATGAATTTAATCACTTTGTTGTTTTCTAAAATGGAACTCAATAGTTTGTGATTTCTTGTTTCTTTTCATTCTACTGTTTTTTGTGGTTTATAAATGAATTTGAAGTCATTTGCATCAGTATTGTAACATACATACACTAAAAGTTTATATTTTCGTGTTAATAAACATTTTGAACCAAGAATCAAGCTGATAACTGTGCCATGCTAATAATAAAACTCCTATTCATTAACTTTTAAGATTTTATAGTGATCATCATGATCATATTAAGGGAAACATCAAATTACCCTTTTTGTATTTGAGTATATTCGAATTATCTGTCTATTACACATAATATTCTCGATCGTAACAATTTTGTTAAAGGGTATGTGTAGATGAACTGCATGTAATTAAGATTCAAACAAAGAGAAACAAATCTTAAAAGGAGAAAACTAAAAAAACCAGGTAATGGATTTAAGACCTGATTAGCATGTGCATTTTTACATAAATATTTATAACTAGGGCTTTATTTAGAGCTAAAGCAAAAGGTAGACGTGCTTAAACTAATACCAACTTGTTATTTCATTGGCTACTTGTCTGGTCAAGTGGAAGATTATTCCTATTTTAATTACAACCAACCTAGTGGGTTATCTATTTAATTTAAGTTTCTCTCGTCTACTAGTATATTTTTTTTCTTGTGGTGGGTTGCTTATTTTTAAATTCGTTTCATTCATTTTAAAAAATTTTTTTATTTAAGTAAGAAAGTCTAAAAGGACATGCAATTAAAATTTAGCTGGAAACGCGTTGTGCAACTTGCTTGTTTTTTTTTCTTTAATAATCTTTCTGCAACCCCCTAGTGGGAAATGATACAACGAACCCCTATGCCGGTCTTTCAAGTGTTTATATTTGTTTAAATCCAATTTCCTTTTAATAATAATAATTATTATACAAAGATTTAGTAATCAAATTGTTATTAAAAAGAGTATTTTCTTTTTTGCCACGTTCAAGCTTACATATAAAATCAGTTTTCAACTCGTAAAATAATCAACATGCTAGTAAATTTACATCCTTATATTTTGACAGAAAGAAGAAGAAAAAAACTATTGTATAAACCAACTTCAGAAAAGATAAATAATTACATATACTAGTCTTTAATAATAAAAAAACTATCTTTCTTTACAGAAATGTCTCACTTATTCTTATTATTATTTTGTTTGGTAAAACATCTTTTCTATTATAGAGAAATAATATTTGAAATACCAATATTTTTGCAAGTCCATTATCGTGTTACCATCAAAAAGATTCAAATCGGCAAATTGCATGTTGTTGAAAAAAACAACCTACAAACACAAATGGTTTATTTTAAAAATCTTTTAGTTTTAAAAGTGCTTATTAAATATACAAGTCCTATTTTCATAATATTTTTAAATGTTGATATATCATACAAACTATTCGTAACAATTTTCTTTCGTCTCCCCAAATTCGTGGTGACTACCGAGAATGAGATAGTTCAAATGTCTAATTAAGTGCTTAGTTATCGTAGGATCTTTCAGATATGTGCCGAGGCCCATGAAGTACCTGAAACTAAATGGGCCGAGAGATCCAACACAACCCAACCGAATTGGTATCAATACGCTGCGTTTTACGTTTGCTTATATAAGAAAAGGTCACTCCAAAGCGGGAAGTGAGCGACAAGAAACAGCGGCGGCCGTCATGGATTCGTCGGCGAACACAAACCAAGCTTTAACGGCGACGCGTTTCTCCGACCTCGAACTGGAACCTCCACTTTCCGGAGATATCATTGAGGCGCTTAAGAAATCTAATTTTGAGTTCTGCACTCCGGTTCAGGCCGCGACGATTCCTTTACTCTGCAGGCACAAGGATGTCGCCGTCGACGCTGCCACTGGTTCTGGAAAAACCCTAGCTTTCGTCATCCCACTCGTTGAAATCCTCCGTAAATCCACCTCATATCCTCCCAAGTCTCACCAGGTTAGATAGTTATGCCAACCAATCTGGAAATTAGTATTTTTATTTTACAAGTTCAATCTTTGATTTTTTGATTTAAGGTTTAATTCTTATTGAAATTGAATTACAGGTCATGGGGGTGATTATCTCGCCAACTAGAGAGCTATCGACGCAGATATATAATGTAGCGCAGCCATTTATTTCCACTTTGGCAAATGTGAACTCTGTGTTACTTGTTGGAGGCAGAGAGGTGAAAGCTGACGTGAAGATTATTGAAGAAGAAGGATGCAATATCTTGATTGGTACACCTGGAAGGCTTTCGGATATAATGGAACGAATGGAGATTCTGGATTTTCGAAATCTTGAGGTAGTTTCTTCAATCAGGGATTTATCTTTTAAGATGGATGTTGTGAACAACTGAAATTTTTTTAGATTGTTACTTAAACTTATTGTAATCTGTAGTTCGATAACCAGGTAAATCTTTTTTTCATGTGTAGATTCTTATTTTAGATGAGGCAGATAGGCTTTTGGAGATGGGGTTCCAAAAGCAGGTGAATTACATTATCTCACGCTTGCCAAAGCAGAGGAGGACTGGCCTCTTTTCAGCTACGCAAACAGAGGGCGTTGAAGAGCTCGCCAAGGCTGGGCTTAGGAACCCTGTGAGAGTTGAAGTTCGAGCTGAGTCGAATTCAGAATCATCCCAGCAATTGGCTAACTCGAGAACCCCTTCTGGTCTTCATCTTGAGGTATTATAAAGTTCAATATATAAATATGTACATATACTTTTTAAACTGCTAAGTTTTCCTGTCGTATCCTGCATTATCTTTTATCATTATTGTGAGTCTTTGACCTGATATATGAAGATTTTTTCCTTCTATTTGTAAGAATCCAGTACTTTAACGATTTTCTTGGTAGCTCATTATACTCCCTTCTCTTGGTAGCAAGTTTGCTGCAAATATTCTATCTTTATGTTTCCTACTTGGCGTTTCTTAGACGTTTATTTCTCCTTGTCTTTACAGTATATGGAATGCGAAGCAGACAAAAAATCATCACAACTAGTGGATCTGCTCATCAAGAACAGTAATAAAAAGCTTATAGTGTAAGTTTAAAATATTCAACACAGACTTATAAAATGAAGCATCCTGATAAATAGTCTAAGTAACTCTGCAGGTTCTTCATGACATGTGCTTCTGTTGATTACTGGGGACTCGTACTTTCAAAAATTCCAACCCTGAAGTCCATATCTTTAATTCCAATCCATGGAGATATGAAGCAAGTAAGTTACCGTGATAGATTTCAATTTCCCATATCACCTCATTGCCTGAAATATTAAAAGTTTTGATGAAATATATTTAACATATCAGAATGCAAGAGACAAGGCATTAGCTTCATTTACTAAAGCATCAAGCGGTGCCCTTCTGTGCACAGATGTTGCTGCACGTGGACTTGATATTCCAGGCATTGATTACGTAGTTCAGGTAGATTCCACAATGTTTGTTTCCATTGTTATGCCATATCTGTTGCAATATATATGATTTAAAGGTTTGAACATGTTCGTGCAGTATGATCCCCCACAAGACCCAAATATGTTCAACCATAGGGCCGGCAGAACCGCAAGGTTGGGAAGACAAGGGAGGGCTATTGTGTTTTTACTGCCCAGGGTTTAGCTTTGATCACTTTATCTTCTCTTTTACCCGATACTTTTCATAGTTACATTGCATAGCATGAAAAACTGAATAGTTCACTTCCATATTTGTGTAGGAGGAAGCCTATGTAGAGTTTATGCGCATAAGAAGAGTCCCTCTGGAAGAGAGGAAATGCTCTGAAGACGCCTCTGACGTCATCCCGATTGTAAGAAAACCTCGGTGCCTCCTCTCCCTCTCTGTCATACACAGTGTTTACTAATTGCTACAATGTGTTCAGATACGTTCGGCTGCCATGAAGGATCGGGCAGTGTTGGAGAAGGGATTAAAGGCATTTGTTTCCTTTGTCCGTGCTTATAAGGAACATCACTGTTCTTTCATTTTCAGGTTCATTCATGAGGCTCAGTTGTTTTATCTGTTTTTCCGAATCCTTTCTTGCTCTATAACTTTTGTAATTCGAAAGTTTCTTTCTTTTTTGGTCTAACTTACAGATGGAAAGAACTTGAAATCGGAAAGTTAGCCATGGGATATGGCCTTTTGTATCTTCCTTCCATGTCTGAAATTAAACAACACAGACTTTCTAGTGAGGGTTTCACACCCGTTGAAGGCGTCAAGTTTGAAGACATAAGATTCACGTAATTTTTTTCTACCAAAATCCCTAACGCTTACGATATGTGTCCGCTTTCACCTGTTACCTTAGTTTCTGAGACACCAAAAGACTAAAACTTGAAACAGTTGGTAAAGTCATGGTTTTGACATCTCTCGAAACCTACTATGAATAGGTTTAGATTTAGAGGAAACAAGCTTTTGTAGTCTGAAGTCTTTGTCCACCCTTAGGCGTAGTGTTTTCAGGAATCATATGCTTTCTGAGTCAATATGTAGGCATTTCTCTAAACCTAGATATTTTGAATAAACGCAGGGACAAATCTCGGGAGAAACAAAGGCAGCAAAACTTAAAAGTAAGGAAAGAGAAACGGCAAGAAGAGAAAAAAGAGAAAGGCAAGAGGAAAAGGGTTGATGCATCTGCTACAAATGATTCTAACAAAGCGTCAAGAAAGTTAACGGGGAAGCAAAGGCAAACTATTCAAACAGCTGAAGATGAAGAAGAAATGGATCGAGATTATAAATTACTGGTAAAAGTAAAGAAAGGGCTGATTAAAGAAGATGAATTTGCAAGACTTACAGGAGATGATGATTTATTCTGAGGGGAAGAAACAATCCTTGATGTTTGGATTAGTAGCAGAGATGGACTAAGCTTAGTGTTTCTACTCTCGTATGTGTGTAAGTTAAAAAGAAAGAGTCAAGTTTTGTAGGCATAGCTTCTGATTCTGAATTTTGAGAATTTTTCTTCTTGTTTTTGAAATTTATCTAAAGATATTATTCTCAAGTTGCTGTGCGAACTTGGCTTAAAAGATTCACTTTCATTTTTGTGTTCTTTTGTAAATTTCCAAGTTTAGTTAGTAAAACTATAGAGCAAGCTCAAAATTATTAAATTGTAAATAACTAAACTTTTCCTCGAATCCAATCAAATAATTCACCAACTGCACACAACTTCCTAGTAGACTGTGCCCTCCATAATTAATAACGACCATCACCGTAAGATATATTTTTATCAGATACAAAGAAAAAAAATAAAAACTAAAAGCATGAAAGCTTCAGTGCTATAAAATAACTAAAACAGAACACAAATCTCTCTGTAACACCATCGTCTTCGTCTTTTGCCGTAGTCCGTTGACTCGTTTGTATTTTCGCAAGAAACTTTCTCTCCCGCACTCTCTCACTCCCTGTCTCTCGTGATGTCCAAATCCAACGAGGCAGCTATGTTAGTAGCGCCATCACCACCACCTCCACCTTTCGATCCGACTAAACCATCAACGCCCATCTCTTTCCCAATCAAAACTCTTCAAGACTTAAAGTCTCGCTCTTACTTCGATTCTTTTCACTTCTCCTTTAACCGTTCCTCCGTCGCTCTCCGCCGCAACATTGGCGTCTTGCCGGATCGATCTAGGCTCTTGGTTTGCCACGACATGAAAGGAGGCTACGTCGACGACAAGTGGGTTCAAGGATGTGGAAACAACGCTGGTTACGCGATCTGGAATTGGTATTTGATGGACGTTTTCGTTTACTTCTCACACTCGCTTGTGACTCTTCCTCCTCCTTGCTGGACCAATACTGCTCACAGACATGGCGTCAAGGTCAGTCAATGTGTTGACTTTTCAAAAGTCTGGTTTATACTTGAAGTAACTAAATTTCCATCTTTGAATGTGTAGTAAACCCAATTGCAAGTTGTTGACAAAAATGAACTTTGATTAGAGAAAAAAATATGGTGGGGAGTTTGATTGTCTTGGTCAGAGATATACATATATGGTTGGTTATTCAAGGAAAAGATTCATTTTCTTGTGTGTGTTTTTTGTTATGGATATCTTAAGGTATTGGGGACTTTCATCACAGAATGGGACGAAGGTAAAGCTACCTGCAAAGAGTTGTTGGCGACAAAGGAGTCTGCGCAGATGTATGCAGAGCGTTTGGCAGAACTTGCTGCTGCTCTTGGATTTGATGGGTGGTTGGTGAGGTTTTTTTTTGCTATATATAGCTGTATTTGCTCTATTTTGGTGAATGATTTAAACCAATGTGAAGCAGCATCTGGAAACTCTTTGCTAAAGTGGAAACAACTATCTGGAGAAGTTGATTATTCGCATACTAAGTTGACCTTAATGAATTGTTTACTTGCAGATAAATATTGAGAATGTAATAGATGAAGTTCAGATTCCAAATTTACTGGTTTTTGTAAGCCATCTAACAAAAGTTATGCATTCATCTGTACCTGGAGGTTTAGTTATATGGTGAGTGTTGAGATACCTTTCTTTGTCAAATTCACTCTTTTCTCTCATTGATCCTTTTGACGACTTTTTGTTTGCAGGTATGATAGTGTCACGGTTCATGGTCTTCTTGAGTGGCAAGATCAGTTGACTGACAATAATAAACCTTTTTTTGATATTTGTGATGGAATATTCATGAACTATACATGGAAGGTTTGCAATCTCACTTCATTATTCACTCTCTTTATCTTCATTCCTTCTATATATTCTGATTGTGAATTGAGTATGCATCTCTTTCAGGAGAACTATCCCAAAGCATCAGCTAAAATCGCCGGGGATAGAAAATATGATGTATATATGGGAATAGATGTTTTTGGTCGGGGCACTTATGGTGGTGGGCAATGGACTGTATGTATCTTATTTAATTCTTACAACATCACTCAACCAGTAATCTGCAATGTTCAAGCTGCATATAAAGTTTTTCTTCTTTGTTTAAATCTGTTGCACCGTAGGCAAATGTTGCCCTTGATTTGCTGAAGAGAAACAATGTATCAGCTGCCGTATTTGCTCCTGGATGGGTATACGAAACCGAGCAACCACCGGATTTTCACACGGCACAGAATAAGTAATACTTGAAAATATGATGGTAAAAAGAATCTGTGCAATCTTATCATCATATGTTATGTGTGTTTTAGATGGTGGTCACTTGTTGAGAAGTCATGGGGAATAGTTCAAACATATCCGCAAGTCCTACCTTTCTACTCAGATTTTAATCAGGTGAAGTGAAACTCTGTTCCCAGTGAATAATTGCAAATGACAATAGCTTCTCTGTTTTCCCAAGTTTTGCAACTCTCTTCTCTTGGTTATCTCATATAGGGCCTTGGTTCCCATATTTCTCTCGGAGGTAAAATATTATCAGACGCTCCCTGGTACAATATTTCATGCCAAAGTCTGCAGGTTTAGTGGTCACTCATTGTTCTAAATTTTTATGCATTATAACTCTTTTCCTTTTTTTTTTTTTTTTGTCACATTCAATCTGCATGCCAATTTGATTTCTGTTGTGTTCTTTGTGATAGCCACTCCTAGAATTTCACGAAGGAAAGAATTCAGATATCATGCAAGTCACCGTTGAGTAAGTTCTGACCCTAACACTAGCATCATATTTGATATTCGAAAAGCCTAAAAATAAATGAAATTTGATATCTAACAACAAAGAACACAAATATGGTAGTGGTGGAGAAGCATCTTATAATGGAGGAGGGAACGTCAGTTTCAGAGGAAAACTACAGAGAAATGCACATTTCACAGCAAGACTCTTCAAACCTCATCTTGAGCTCCCTGCTTCTCCAATCTCAATCTCCTTTTCTGTAAGTGGGCGCATAAGATTTGAGCTCCTCCTCATCTTTACAAAGTTTTTCAATCTTTACGTTTACGCAAGTAAGTATCTGGTTTGGTGCAGGTGAAGTCAGATAAAAGATCTGAACTCAGCATTCTGCTCCATTTTTCATCTCCTTCACATGAGAAAAAGTCTTTTCTTATGGCGCCAAATGAATCTAGCAACAGATTTGGCGACATGTTCTTGCCATGTCACGTCACATCTACACAGACCACATCCGATTGGATGGTGCATGAAACAAACCTTGTTCTGGATGGGCACACACTGAGTGAGATCTCTGCCTTCTGCTCCAGACCAGATGATCTCACAGAAGAAACAAACACACTAGAGTATTTTGCATTGCTTGGTCATATCTCCATCAAGAGCCAGCAAAAAACCAAGCTTTTTCCTTTGGCATCATCATGGGTTATCGAGGCTCATCACATAAAGTTTGTACCGGGTGATTCTGGCTCCAAGACCTTAAGTTGTAAGCTAGAATGGAGACTGAAGCACCCTGAAGAAGATATCGCCTTTACAAGGTATAATGTGTATGCAGAGAATCTGAAATCGAGTGAGTACAGGGCAAGGAAGGTTATGGAAGAACCGAGAAGCGAGAAAGTGTTTCTCGGAACAGCTCATGTTGATGCTTATTATGTCTCTGGTCTGGTCGTTGGATCAGATTTGAAGGGAGTCCGGTTTGTAGTTCAAACCTGTGGTGAAGATGGTACATGGCAGGAGCTGGATCATTCACCTAACCTTCTGGTTGAGGTAGAACGTCCAAGTTCAAAGCTTTGTTGTTGTGGGTTAATTTGAGTTATGGTTCATTTATAAACTTGAAATTCCTGCCATCTAGTAAGAGCACTGATGGTTTAGTCAATGTGAAGGATATGAAACTATACCATAATGATTATGCGGTTGATAATAATGACGTTAAAATAATTTCTGATAATAAAGTTGGTTTCGCTGGATTATATACGTGACTACTAGATGAAGTCTTTTAGCTCATACGCGGGATAGTTATGCTTAAAATATGTTTAACTATAAAATGAAGATATATCATGGGGTTAACCATAAAATTATGCATAGATTAGATATAACTTTAGTTTTAAAAATCTCTATTAACATTTTAACAATAAGCTAAACAAAGATTTTCTTATGACTTAAGATTTTTTAGTAACATTGGCTAAGCATAATTTAAGACACATTACCAAAAAATTATAGCTCATTAACATTTTAGTCTGTCCATTTGACTTAATTAATTTTACAATCTTCATTTATTAGTAACTAGTTTAGTACCCGTCCGATGGACGGGTTATGTTTATTTAAAATTAAATTAAAATTAAAATTTATTAAAATTTATAAAAAAAATAATTTCTATTTCTTTTTGAAAAAATAAGAGAAATTAATTTCATTTGGGAAGAGATTTTATTTGGTTTGAAGTTTCAAATAAACGTGCATATATATATATATATCTCTCTCTCTCTCGCTTAAAATTCGTTATTAGACGTTAATTATAAAAATCTAGTAATGTCAAAACTGACAATCACCAAAACATTTGGGAGCTATTTGGGAGCTATTCACCATTACCATAATATTGCTAAAATATTTTAAAAAATCTTAATTTAGCAATTATCCTCTAAAACATGATTATACCATTTTGTAAAAATTGCTATTTCTTAACTTTCAATTTTTCAAAAAATCATTCTCAGACTATGAAAATTAATTAATTATTATTTGATATGATGGTAAAGTTCTTTCAAATTAACATCAATCTAAAATATGATGTTAAATACAAATATAGTCATTGTAAATAAATTCACATAAACAACGCAAATAAACATAAAGATTCTAAAATAAATTATAGTATCGTTGAAGAAAACATTAAAAAATCCTTCAAATACGAATTATAAAAAACTACATATTTTTTAAAATAGTATTTTAAAATTACTATATTACGATTTATATTGAACTTTGTTATCTTTAATTTAAGCTAAAAAGTATTTTATTCACCCTTATGTTTTAGACAATGAAATTGCTCAATGGCATAATACATTCAGACATAAAAAATTAAACAAATATAACATGTTATAAAATAAAAATCATGAATAAAACTATGTATTTAGTTAAACTCAAAAATCTAATTTATTTGTAAACTGTAAATCCTAATTCTCCTTTTTGAACCCAAACTGAGTAATAACCTTGTTTAAACCTAAATCTCACTCCTCTTTAATAAATCCAAACCGATAAATAATCTCGTTTAATTATTAAAATCTAAACTATAATGCACATTTATAAACTCAACATATAACCCTTATAATTGTAAAACCTATAACTCACAAAACCAGAAATTAGGTCAATAGTTGAAAAAGATTTTTTGAGAAATACCCCTTTTGGTGTACTCCTTTTTAAAAATACACTAATTTTCTATCCATTTTAAAAATATCCCTTTCCAAATATGAAAAATTGTAAACTTTTATATAATTTTTAAGGTACATCTAGATCATCATTACTATTGGGAGACTCAATACAAATATTTATAAAGTTTTAAAAAGGTTCTAAACGGCATTTATAAGACTTTTATAAGGTTTTTATAAGGTTTACAAAGTTTTTATATGTTTTTAAAAGGTATTTATATGGTATTTGAAATTTACACACATAGAAAGATAATTTGTGTCTAAATATATAAACTTAAACATTTTTTTTATAAATATCAATTTTTATACTTTTTAATTTATCAAAAATACCTCTTTTCCATACCAATTTTAAAAAATACCCCTATTTCAAACTTTATAAAAAAAACCACTATAAATGTTGAAATTTGTCCAAATATGTGTGTAAATTTTTAAATTACCTTTATATATGTTTAAATTTTTATATATCTTTCATAAATAGCGTAAAATAATTTATAAATACATTTTAAAAACCTTTTAAAAACCTTATAAGCACTTTAGAAACCACTTAAAAACATTATAAAACTTGTAACAACGATTTAAAACCTTTTAAAACATTATAAAATATTTGTATCAAATTTCCAAGTAGTAGTTATTATATAGAAATACCTTATAAACTATATAAAACTTTATAATTTTTCATATTTAAACATGGATATTTTTGAAAATTAATAGATAAAGGAGGTATTTTTGTAAAGGGGTACACCAAAAAGGGTATTTCTCAAAAATTCTCTTTAATTTTTTATAATTATTTTTTAATGTTGTTTAAAAATTCTGTTTGTATCTTAATATTAACAAAATTAGATATAACATGTTGGGACATCTTATATTTTTACTTGACACTTATCATGATCACGTGAGTTAGTAAATTTAAAAACTAAGTTTCGACATATAATCTCGTTTAATTGTTAAATTTACAAAAACTGCCATATATTCTTGTTAATTATAAATTTTAAATCCCTATCTTATTAATAAAACAAATTGACATAACTGAAATTAGGTTATTTGTTTAATTTTATTAATAATGTTTAATATATAATTATTTATAATATTTATTTTATATATTTCTTTTTTCGATATGGTTAATAATATTTTTATTTTATCCAAATATTAACAAAATTAGTTATGACACGTGTCAATATCTTATCATTTATAATTGACACGTGTCAATATCTTATCATTTATAATTGACACGTGTCACGATCTTGACTGACTTTGAAAACCAAGGTTTATATAATAAGATTTTAGTACAGTGGTTCTTTATTTTTTACATCAAACGGTGTCGTGCTACGAGGAGTGGGATTGTGATTTGTGAGGGAGCCGGCGTGATTGAAGATTACGACGGGAAAGTTTTTAAATAACAGACTCGTCCCAATTTTGAAAACCCTAAAATTCAATCTCGCGAATCTTATTAAGAAACTCTTCCTCTCCCTCTCTCTGTAATTTTCGCAACCTCCTAAGTTCTCGAGAATCTTAAACCATGGCGAATTCTGCACCGAATCTGGAATGTCGTATGTACGAAACCAGATACCCTGAGGTAGACATGGCGGTGATGATTCAGGTGAAGAACATCGCCGACATGGGAGCTTACGTCTCTCTCCTTGAGTACAATAATATCGAAGGAATGATCCTCTTCTCTGAGCTCTCCCGTCGTCGAATTCGTAGTATCAGTAGCTTAATCAAGGTCGGTCGGATCGAGCCTGTTATGGTCCTTCGTGTCGATAACGAGAGAGGTTATATCGATCTCAGTAAGCGTAGGGTTAGTGAAGAGGACATACAGACTTGCGAGGAGAGGTACAACAAGAGCAAGCTTGTTCACTCTATCATGCGCCATGTGGCCGAGACTGTTGGTGTCGATTTGGAGGTATTGATTGCATTCAGTGAACTTATTTAGAGCACTCGATCAGGAGCTTTGATTTCGTTTACTTTGCTTGGAATGATAAGCTGAACTCGGTAGTTCTTAGATTTTAGTTAGGATAAGTGGATAACTTTGATGAAGATTAAGATTTTAGGTATTGGTGTTTCCAAAATTATGTTGTATTGTTTCTGCTGATATTGCGTTTAAGATTTGTTTCTTCTAGCCAATGTGTTCTGCAGATTTCTAAGAATAAAGTTCCTCCATTGTTCATGTGATAATATAAAATCTTACACAATAGCCATAACCCTATGTGAAGTTTCAATCTATCTAGTGGTCGCCTTCAATGTTCTAGCTTGATCATTGTTTTTTCTTCTTGAGTTGTAATAAGGTCCAGTTTTGCGTATCCTTGTCCACTTTTCTCTTTAGACTTCCAATTTCTCAAAAAAGCTTTTTTTCCTTTTTCTGTAGGAGCTATACGTAAACATAGGCTGGCCATTGTATAAGAAGCATGGACATGCTTTTGAGGTAATAGTTCCAAAGCTTTTATTAACTAAACGGCTGATCACCTCTTATATGAACTGTTGTGACAGTGCTACTTTGAACTCTGTTTTTAGGCTTTCAAAATTGTTGTCACTGATCCTGATTCAGTTTTCAATGCTCTTACTCGAGAAGTTAAAGAAACAGGACCTGATGGTGTGGAGGTAACACCAAATGCCTTAAACCACCTTCCTTATCATTGTTTTAGTTGGATCCATGAAGACTTATTTTTTAATCCTTTTTAAAGGTGACCAAAGTTGTTCCGGCTGTGTCTGAAGAACTCAAAGATGCTTTTGTGAAGAACATTAGGAGGAGAATGACACCACAGCCAATGAAGATCCGTGCCGATATTGAATTGAAGTGTTTTCAGTTTGATGGAGTTCTCCACATCAAGGTCAGTCTTTTCTATTTCGTAACTGTTTATTGTTAAGATGAGTTTTTGTTTTCTTCCGATATGTTTGTTAATTGTTATATACTTACTAGCATAATATTTTGCCTGATAACGATGATATGAATTTGCAGGAAGCCATGAAGAAGGCAGAGGCTGAAGGTAGTGATGATTGTCCTGTCAAAATCAAGCTTGTTGCTCCTCCGCTCTATGTACTTACAACGCAAACCCTTGACAAGGTATTGTTTATGTTGTTGGGTTTGTCCCTTGTGTTAAAACGTGGAAAAGGGTTTAAGATACACTGTAACATTACTATAAATCCTTACACATATTCGTTTAACTCTTCCGCACAACCATCACGAATACCTGCAGTGCAATATGAGTTTTACAACCTAATGTTTCAGTAAAACTCTTGGGCACTCTTGACACTTTCTTTATCTGATTGAGTAGGAAAAAGGAATAGTGACTCTGAATAAAGCAATTGAAGCATGCATTATTGCAATAGAGAAAGAAAAGGGGAAACTTATTGTTAAAGAAGGTGCTCGTGCGGTGAGTGAACGCGATGACAAATTGCTTGCTGAGCACATGGCCAAGCTTAGAATGGATAATGAAGAAATCAGTGGAGATGAGGGAAGTGAAGATGAAGAAGAAGACACTGGAATGGGAGAAGTCGATATCAATGGAGGTAGCGGGATAATTGAATGAACAAAAGCATAAGCATTGTAACATCTGTTTCTG